CTCTACTGTTCCAGTGAATGGAATCATAGAAAATATCACTCATCCGCGCATGGCAGCATAGCATACGCGCTGACTTGGAGATAGTGAAAACGAGGAGTTCGATTCCCTCTTATCCTACACTCGCCAACACATCACTGTGTTCGTGGCGTTGAATGGAAATACGTAAGACTCAGTGAACTGCAGTTACTTATGCTCTCTCTTTATTATACTAAATAATATTGTTGTAAATTTTTTATGCAATGCATTCTTCGCACTGCTTTTATTTAAACTTCGCTTGTTTGTTATTTCTTCTCTGGTCCTAAAAAACCAGCCCTTACTTGAGATTTGAAGGCCAGGATTGTGTGACTTGCGATCGAGCATTTTTTCAGTTCTGAACAACTCATAAGAGTCATTTGTTGGCAGTCAAATTTGAAAAGCACATAAATTTGGCAGAAAAAAGAACCCCCCGTCCGCAGCTGATCGGGCAACCCGCGCTTCCATTTGTTAGGCGCTTTATCTCGAAGTGTCGCTTTGATAAAAAACACACATCACTGTGATATCGGAGCCAAAATTTGTCATCATGCTGTTATCACGTGTGCTTATCATTCGTACGCCTGCTCCCCCACTCTTTCCGCCCGTAGAGCAGTGGTGCGAGAAAATGACAGGAAGAATGGAGGAAACGGAGTGTTCTTTGGTCCGTGTGGGAAGCGTACACATTCTACGCAGATCCACGAGCTTTTGCAGACACACACAGACACTCACATGTACCACATACGCACACACACATACAGACACATATTCATATGTGTGTAGGCGTACGTACAGAGAGGTCGTACACGGACCGAGCAAAAAGTGAGCGGCAGATGAGGATGAAGGGGGCAGTCAGGAGACGTACAGAAAGCGAGGATGAGATGATCTTTGGAAGAGCAGCACGTGGTGTCCGCTGCTCGACATATAAAATTGATGGTAGAGGTGTCTGTGGAACAGTTGGCATCGTTGCGCCAGCGGCGGCAGTGGACCTACGAATATATGTGAGTATTAAAGGGGAGCTGGGTGAGTTGGCGAGCTCAGTCTGGATGGGCGCACACGTGTCCTTGTCGATGTCACATGGCGCTCGTGTCGCCTCGCCGTCTCTCTCTCTCTCTCATCGATGGGTGAGGTCCACTTTGTTGCGTTAGTGCTGCCTTGACGGTACCACAGTCTGGTACCACTGAGGGGAAGAGGCGCAGTTCTCAGACACTAGCGATTTTATGGACAAATGGGACGCAGCCACTCCATACTTAATTCTTCCGAGTCGAGAACCTTCATGATTACCACCAGCCTCTCAGTCAGTCCACTGTCGTACCAGGTATATTTTCGTCCTCAGATTCTGCTTTAGGAACCGATCGGTACTCAGCAAATTCTGCTCTCCTGATGACCCAGGAATTAAAAGTCTAGTCAGCACACTGTTCTCATAGAAAATGCTAGCTCATGAATGGCAGACAATGAGTGTCCGCGTCTAGACTTAGCTTCCTCTTTTCCCTCTCTCTTTGGCCTCTCTCTCTTATTCCTTATTGCACCCATCTTCAGAATTAGTCACATGGACGTTCAGCACAAGCGAGTGGGAGGCGGTACTGATGATTTCCACCGTTACTCGCGCAAAAGTCCGGTCTGTGTTTATAGTCAAGGAATGAAACACAGACTGCATCGTAAAATGTCTTTTTACATATGACACTTAAGTCCAGTCCCTTTTATTCTACTATTTCAACTACCAGTTAACAAATCTTCCAGTTGCTTTGATTAGTGCTGCACTGCCTCGTGGTCAGCCTACTGACTATCCTGGATATGTCTCTGGTCTCTTGAATGAATTACCAACAGGGATGCATCTTTTTTTCATCAATGCAGGCCAGTAAAAAATTTGTTTTTAGGACTGTTGTGGCCGAAGCTATTGCAGCACCAGAGGATCAGCCTGTGTTCAGTCCTGGCGTTTTTCCCTTCTGATGCTTTTTTTTCTGGGGAGAAGTCTTTTACTTATGTGAACTGTTAGCTCATCTGTCAGCGATTTCCTTCATATTCATCAAAAGTTCGTGTATTATTCATGAGGAGTCTACCAGGGTTGATCGTACGGAGTCACTGGACTCTGATAAGTAACCCTCGGCACCAAACCACGAGGCACATGTTGCACTGTCAAGGTGAAGCATAAAAATTTTTCAGCTCTTTTATGGAAGCACTAGATGAAATGTGCAAAAAGTGCTTGTCTCTGGATTCGCAAACAACTATTAATAATTTCCTCCCAGTTGATCTCGGAGGAACTCACATTTTTACAAAAAAAAAAAAACCGGTTGGGACACTTTATGCTGCGTCCTGCATGCTTTTCTCCGACACAGTGCAGAGCACTGGCGGTGCCGAAAGCATGACAAAGTGCCCTCGATTATATTTACCTGAATTTAATACCTTTTTTTTGCCGAATTCAGTTCGTTGTAATACGATAAACAAAATTTCATTTCGCTGAGCTGTCAGAACAGCAGTGATTGATTAGATAACGCGTATGGCGATAATTTTATTTTTTTTTTTTGAATGAAATCAATCGGATTCGCTTGTAACACTGTGTCGTACTTACGAACTTGGTACCGGTAACATCATTTCGGTCCATAGAAGTGGCATTCACGACGAGATGGTGATGCTTAATATTTATATATATACACGTATGCAAACAAATAGATAGGCAGAAAAACACACAAAAAGAACATTTCAAGACGGCTAAGGCCTCGCCAAAGTGCTTTCATTGAGGAAACGATCAAACTGACGACGAAGTTTCAAATTATGATTTGTATAAAATATAAAAATTAATCAGCAGGGCCTGTCAGAAGACAAACGAATGATAGAATTGTCAGCCTGTGCAGCACAAGACAAAACAACCCGTGAAGTAACCAGCTGCGATTCTCTAGATAATTCGTTTTGTGAGTCCGGCGTATTTCGCTTCCTCTTTAGTAGTTATTCCATTTGTTTGTCAGATGGCCCTGAAGGTGTCGATATTCATCATTTCCTTCGTTTTCGTTGCAGTAATTTTCAGGGTGATCGGAATGGAGGATTTGTTGAAATTAGCAGGGCTGTTTTAAGTGTTTATGCTTTATTTGTTTGGAACGTTTTTCTCCCCTCGTAAGAATTATTTGTTCACTGTTCAAAGCGTGCTAGAAAAATAGTTTGTTTTGATTTTCGTAAAATTTGACCAGCTGTGTCAACCAGTCGACGTATTGGCTCGCTGCTAATTCAAAGAAGATCCAGTTAAAGCTTTATAAATCGAAAACTGATTTCAGCCAGACATTCCGTATATAATACAGCAAAATTATATTAGAAAGGTATTAAATAATCAAAAGTTGGCAACTTTTTTCAAAAGGAGAGGTGAGCTGGATAAAAAGATCGTCTATTCAAAACGAAACGATTGAGTGAAAAGATGCGAAGTTTGACTATAATCACCTAAAAATTACGCTGAGGGAGGCAAAAATTTTGTCACTGCGATGCAAATTTCAGTTGGATGGATGAGAAATTTAGCCGGAAATGTGTGAAAAGTATTCTAGAAAGTAATCAAAATTACTTTGAACTTGGGCAGTAAGATAGCTACAGAAGTTCTAAAATTGATCAAATGGAGCTCGAAAAAAGGACGCAATTTTCA